TCTGGACACTCCACTCAAAGCGCTTTACAGGTAATGGGGACTCCCCTCCACCACCACCAGTGTGCAGCCCCACCTGGATGATGTGACAGCAGCCAAGGAGCGCAAATACACTCACTTTAAAACAAACAAATTTAAAATGAGCTACTGTAGATGGCATGACTAGTATAATTGTTGCGAACAGTAAGTGTCTAGATCTATAGAGGGCTGTGTGGTATACACAGTACATGTACAGTAGGTTCTCGAAAAAAGCACTCTGGAAAAAGCACTCTAATCCTTAATGATTCTTGCTGTATCCCTTTATTGTTATTAGACATTTTCTATTTTTCATAGATTGCTAAATTTCTGTTCTTGTCTCCGGTTTCATTGTGACAACTTCATAAAACGGCGATTATGGAAATTTCATCCCAGCTGTTGGGATAAGGAGCAGGAATTTTCCGCAGATGACCGCCGGGGCCAGTGTTGGCAGATTATGGTTTGCAGTCATTTAGAGAGCGTAGGCAGGCAGCTGTCACAGTCTTACTGGAAAAAGGAAGCCCATCCACCTAGTGCTCTTGTTTCATATGGATCCTCTAGTCAGTCTGATTCTCCTCTACGCGGATTTAAAGTAATGGCATGCACAACGTTATGTAACTTGAAATGGGCTTTTTTTCAGTGGCTGAAGAATTAATCTAAAGTCAAATTAAAGCAGCACTCTGGGGTTATGCAATCAATAAGCAGTCTGCTCTTTTCTGTCCTCTAAATTGCAACATGACTCCACTGTATGTTAATGTTCTATAGCAATTTAAACCATAAAATAAAACTCCAGACATGTAAAATGCACTGGTTAAATACAGATTATGCAAGTATGTACACACTTAAAAGACTTCTTCAAAGGCTTTAACGTCAAGCATGATATACGCATAATGAGGGAAATGGAGATCATCCCTCTTGGCAGATCCAGCTATCGTTAACCTTGAGTCACATGGATCAGCCTCAGGGGTACTCACTGTTCCTTGTCTGGTGTCACTGAGCCCACAGGGCTTTTACCGATTCATCAAAATGAAAAAAAAAAAATAATATGTAAGCAATGCATAGAGAAAACTCTACTCTGAGAACCGGAAGCACTTCTTCCCATTTTGTTGTAGGAGTGCAAGCTACCCAGCCGTGCTGTTGAAGTCGACACATCGTGAAACGGCTTGGTGAGATACTGGAATCACTTAACTACTAAACTGCCGAATGCTTTACTCCCTGGGGTATCTAAATCTACTCTGAACAAGCTGCAGTATGTCCAAAATTCAGCAGCCAGAATCCTGACCAGGTCTAGTGCAAGTGTTCACATTACTCCTATCCTGGAGTCCTTGCACTGGCTTCGGGTCAAATTCCGCATAGAGTTTAAAATCCTCATGCTCACCTACAAGGCTTTACATGGCTTGGCACCTCAATACCTGTCTGAACTTTTATCACCCTACTCCCCACCTCGCAACCTCCGCTCTTCAAATTCTGCCCTCTACATTGTATGGGTGACAGGGCCTTCTCCTGCTATGCCCCCAAGCTCTGGAACTCTTTGCCCAAGGATATCAGAGAGTCACCTTCTCTAAACTCCTTCAAATCCAGACTCAAAACCTTCTTCTTCAGAAAAGCCTTTACTTAACTGGTTCCATTCTTCACCCCTCTGCTCTTCTTAGTACCACCTTCCACGGTCTCCTCTATTGTTATTGTTGTATTGTTGTAATTATAATTGTGTCCTATCTTGTGAAATCTTTTTATTTATTGTTGTAGTCTTCTTATTTATTGTTATTGTCATCCTGTAAAGCGCTTTGAGAAGCCACCTTTAAAGGCGCTATATAAAATAAAGTTTTTTATTATTATTATTATTATTATTATTATTATTATTATTATTTAAAAATTTTAAGATAGGATTGTTTTCTCTGTTTCTACCTAATATCAGTCATTCCATAAACATTCAGTTTTATTGAATTTGGGCGTGAAATTCACTTCCGTCTTCCATCGACTCTACCTGAAACTGCTTGGCACCCAGATTCATGTGAGCGAGGGAGAAAATCTGCCTGCCCTGACTCGACAGTTTTTTTACTTGCAAAAAGTGGGACGCGGCCGACGCCTTAATTCCTCATGAAAGCACTGCGATGAAGAAGCTGCTGTGAGAGCAGTCGGGCAGAATTTTCCATCACTGAGGAAGGACTGAAATCAGCATAGAGCTGCCTGTCTAGTTGGGTGAGAGCACTGCCAAGAGGAGAAGCCAGAGGGCACTGCACCAGCATCGATAACCTTTTGTTTCCAAGACGTGCAGCTTGACCTTCGGCGGTTGCATGGGAATGCAGTGTCAATGAAAATACAGGATTCGGTTGACTGAATAATGCACAGTGCTACGTACATTGGTCTAGTTTCCATGTCTGCACCTCTGCATGTTGCAGTACTGATGCAGAGCTTGAAGGAACAACTGTCTCTGATTAATTATGTTGGGAAGCAAGTGTTTAACACTCCAGTAATGCTACCGTTGTATTGTCTTTTCAGGGATCAGCCGACTTTGTTTAGTGCCTCCAGCACGTGGGATCGACACTACTGGACCACTGAAGTGAGGTACCTACCAGACACCAGACCTCTGTCAGCACCCAGGTTTATTCAACCTCACCAGGTACCTTTCCAATTGACGATGATAGTAATAGTAATGGTGGTAATAATACTCCTTACACTTATATAGGACTTTTCTGGACACTCCACTCAAAGAGTTTTACAGGTAGTGGGGACTCCCCTCCACCACCACCAGTGTGCAGCCCCACCTGGATCATGCAATGGCAGCCATAGTGTGCCAGTACACTCACCACACGCCAGCTATCAGTGAGGACCAGAATAGAGTGATAAAGCTAGTTCAGAGATGGGAATGGGATTATTAGGCCATGATTGGTAAAGGCCAGGGGGAAATTTGGCCAGGACACCTGGGTTAACACCCCTGCTGTTTTGAGAAATGCCCTGGGAATTTTAATACCACAGAGAGTCAGGATCTCAGTTTAACATCTCTTCCGAAGGATGGCGCCTTTGTTATCAAGCTGTTCATAGTCATTCCATAATATTTTTTTACTCAATTTTATTTAATTTCTCCTTCAGCACTAAACACCAAGTTAAAGTCCGTTTTATTGAACATGGTGTTAAACATTGCCTTTAAAGTAAGATAATTCTCTGAGATTAGTTTATTTCTATATATGTAAATACTGTTTAAGTTTTCACTAATTTGAAAGCTTCAGCTGGCATTGCTTACTTGCCTGCATTTCCTAATTAAGACACAAATAACATAATGAAGAACCATCCCTAAAGAACTTGCTTGAAGCATTATTTAAACAAGACTCTTTTAATGAATCTCATTACCGGCCTGGATCAAAGGATAAAGCTACCTGCACTGCCTGTGTCATAATAGAAAGTTAATGTCTTATTTTAAGATGGTCAGAAAACACAAAAGTGCAAAAAAAGTTAATTAAGAAATAATATGGGGAAGTGTTCAGGGATTTATTTGTCGTTCCCTGGAACCACTTTGAGGTCAAGGAGCAAAAGCAATTTAAAATTGCAGTAAGATTTGTTTTGAGTTCAGCTGAATACAACTGTCACTACTATAAAGGAGTTCAAACCAACACAAAACTAATAGACATAGAAACCAGAAACAGAGATTTCTATATAGTTCATAACAGTCAATATAATAATGTATAATAATAATAATAATAAGTAATAATAATAAGTGTTGCAGCTAATTTCAAAGCTAATTTCAGCTGTTTCTATTGTTGTATTATAATGAATTACTAATTACATTATATTGTTAGGCTAGTGGTCATGTGAGGAAAAAGAGGATTCTGAGTCTACACATTAACAGAGGAATCAGAGTGTTCTGGTTCTGTCCTGTTTCCAGTGACTGTAATTTGCTGCTTTCAAATCAAGGATTTTTTGGTTGGTAATAAATCATCTGCGCCCTCTGAAGCAGTTTGGCTTGGCTAAAGTGAGCTGAACATAAAAATGGTTACCAACAAGAGGAAGCCCTTCGGCTTGTCTAGCCTGTTTGGTAGTTAGTAGCTGATGGATTCCAGGATCTCATCCAGCCGTTTCTTGAAAGAAGCCAAGACTTCAACTTCATGGCTGGGTAGCTTGTCCGTACTGCCATAACCCTTAACATAAAGAGTTGCTACCTGTTCTCAGTTGTAAATGTAATTCCATGTAGTTTCTACTTTTGTCCACTGTTTTTTTTAGTGTATGGCATATGGCTGGCTAGGTTAGCATGTTTCTGGGCTTCTTTATTCCCTGAACAAGGGTCATCTGACCATGTGCCCAGGTTTATGAGTTAGGAGGTGTTTGTGAAGATCAGACATAAATAGTGAACCAGTACATATGTCTCATTAGCACTTGTGGTCCTAAAGATGTTCTTCACATCTTTCTGTATGTGTGATCTGCTTTTGCTAGGCCTTATTTCCGAATATGTTCATCATTAAAAGCTTTTGTTAAAAGTGGGTTCTGAGTAGCCTCTTCACTGGGCAATGAATTGTGACATTAGCTTACTGTATTATGTTTGATGTGCAAAATAGCTCTATAAATTTTTTTATGGCATTTTACATGCCATGATCAGTTTGTAATCACTAAACGTGTTCTGTTGTAAAGTCCTTGTACGTGTTGTTCTCAAGAACAGGCTATTTATTTCTTCTTCGACCCCTTTTGCTTGCCCTGAATTACTTGAGACATCATTGATACTAGTGGTTTGAAGTCCCTACATGAAGCTTCCCCTATTATACTGTAGATGTGTTCCAGACTGATTGTAGTCAGGCCTGAAATAGGGATGTCATTGTCTTACCATGCATAATGTCTTTGCTGTAATGTTGATTTTTGTAGGTTTGTATCTTCCCCTTAGAAATTAAACTACTTTTTTCAGATTCCTGTTTTGAAGCAGGGTAATAAACTACAAATGCAGAAACAAAATGGCCAGAGATGATGAACTGTTTTGGTGCTTCAAGTGTAGCTGTCTGGGCAGCGATGGAATAGTATCCTCTTACTTTAAGAGTTACTTTGCGTCACATAAAACTGCTGATTAAGCTTGAAAAGTCTTGGTATGAAATCCATAGCATTGATTTATGCAATCCGTTGTTGTCAACAGCAAAGATTTGCTGCAACCTTCAGTCATTGATCTGTTTGATGGTTGACTTTTTTTCCTTGCTTTCCTTGTCAATGAAAATGATTGAAACTACATGATGCATGATGATGCACTATTGAATCCTGTATTGAATGAGAGGGTTGGCCACCCATACTTACAATATGCTTATTACTATGCTCAAACTGCTACCTTGTTAGTTGTTGTGCAGAATACTAACAGCTAGAAGTGTTTACAGTGTAGGTTTTGTCTTCTGCATATGGCAGTATATGGTTATGGTGGTTAGCTTTACTGCCTTGTAGCGCTGGGGCCCTGGGTTCAAATCTTGGGGTGCTATCTGCGTGGAGTTTACTTGTTCTCCCTGTATTCGCAAGGATTTCCTTTGGGTTTTCCTGTTTCCTCCTCAACTCCAAGGATTTTACACAGGCTACAGAGGAACAAGTAATAGGTTTATTCCATGCTGAAAGGAGAAGAGAGAAAACACAACGTTTCAGCCTTGGAGCCTTCTTCAGGTGTCATAAGAAGGCTGAAGAAGGCACCTGACACCTGATGAAGGCTCCACGGCCGAAACGTTGTGCTTTTTTCTTCTCTTTTCAGTATGGAATAAATCGATTACTTGTTCCTCTGCAGCCTACCCATGCTGACGCAGCTACCCACCCAAACTACTTTTGCACAGGTTAATTGGCTTCTGGGAAAATTGACCCTGGCGTGAGTGTGGGCGTGTCTGTGTGTGCCTTGTGATGGACAGGCATCCCATCCAGGGTGTTTCCTTCGCCTATTGCTTGCCAGGATAGGCTCCAGCTCCCCGTGTTGACCCCGTATTGAATAACGCAGTTAGAAAATTAATGGGTAGGTAGTTCCCTTTTCAGGCCATAAAGGGCCATGGGGAATGGGGTCAAGGGCCACCAATTTTCATTGCCCATCCCACACCGGAGGTGGAGGTGATGTCAGCATCACGCTCCGGCCGGCCTATTACCCTTGGAAGGATTAACCCCCGGTACTAGAAAATGAATAGATTAATATAATATTAATGAAACCAGAGCTGTATTCACTGTATTGGGTGATGTGCAGCTAGTGGAATTTAATTTTTCTCACCTCGCACTGGAACCGGTTAACTGTTCTTGCCCTTTAAGTAGTAACTGTCTAAATTCCTTTCAATCAGGATCTCTGAGAGGATGAGTCAGGCTTACTCTGTGAGTCAACCCTGGAGTCAATCAATATCCATCCCAATTTGAGTTCTAGGAGAGTTTATTGCAGGGGTTTTTGCAGGGAGCAGGGAGTGATTAAACACAGCCCATCTGTTATCAGTAAGTCACGTGGTGGGGGGTTACCCAGGTTACGGAAGAATTTTAACTTTTCACCTGCACTCCTGCTGTTAAGGATTGTCGGCCTCAACTGAAATATTTGCTTAAGAGATAGGCAGACCAGAATGCTGATCACTGAATCATGCCTTTGACAATTATGCTGCTTCTTATTTTAAGCGTACTAGCAGATTTTTCTCCTTTCTTTATTGAATAAAAAGAAAGCTATTCAGTTCAATTACTCGCACCCCACTGTGTGACTGTCATTCACTGCATTCTAATGGGGAAAAGACTCCTGATTGCAATCTTAACAAAGTGCCCCCATTCTAAACGAAACATTTATAATTGTTGGTTACTAGTCTCTGCTCTGTTTTTTTCCAGTGGTAAGTTACAAAATAAATATCGTGAAGCTACTCTACCCATCCAGTTTTAGACTGCTTCTCCTGGTTTAGGTCACAGTTATAGATAAGACTTCATTTATTTATAAAGCAAATCACCATGATTTGCGGCTAATTGTTGGTAAACCAGACTTCTTATTGCTGGTTGTGCTGAATTACAGTGCTGCTGAGAATTCATAGAATTATAGGAGAGGATTACAGTGACCTTGATTTTAATCTATGTAGTGTTGAAAACTGATTTACATTTAGTTTACAGCTATACCTTTGTAAACAGAAACTCGCTGGGGTGAGGGTGTTGGGGGAGGGCTGGACCGACCCACATACAGTAGTAATCTGGCTTTCGGGACAATGGGCAAATACATTAACAGGATGAGGAACATCTATTGCTTTATCAAGGCAGCAATGCTGTGGCACAGCCTTTAACATTAATTGGATTTGATTGGGACCCCATGCGTAAAAAAAGGTTAGAAGAAGAAAACAAAAGACAAAAGGGCACTGCTAGGGGTGGGGATACACATTATAATCTGAATATTATCTGCAGCGTTTCGTTATACGTCTTCTTTTGCAAAGGAAAACACTATAAGAAAACCATTAATTTGAGAAAATATAAGACCTCTGTAAATATATACATTTATGTATTTGAATGATTCACGTTTAACTATCCTGATTACATGGAATTTGTGCAGTTTTATATTCTCCTATTTTAAAAAAAAATGAAATACAAGTTGATGAAATTGCTCGACGAGACCAGAGGTCACCAATAATCGGCAAACAAGTATTCTAAGTCATGAACGCAGTTCAGACGGGTGTCTCGTCA